ATTTCTAACAACACCAAGTAGCACCATAAAAACGAATGGGCCAATCTGTGTTGGAATACGACGCAATGCTACCATCGGTATTTTCCTCCCAACAGTGCTCACGCTATTCATTCTAGTCCATTTCCAATCTTGCAAGAACTTTTTTTCAAATCAACGAATATGAATTACATCTTATATGGGGTGGCCAGAGAATGCGCATTATGCACTCAAGCCTTTTTCCTCCTCTCTATGTTGCACATTAATTTGCCAAGAATACCCAACTAGATGAAGGTCTTGGTTCTGTTAGATATCTCAATCTTCCAGAGTTAGGTCCACATGTTTACTTATCCATCATTTTCATAAGTATTTATCCAAGTGTAAGCATAAGAGACAAAGAACAATATATGTTTGAGCTTTCAAGTCTCCAAAAGAGTTTATACTCTTTTTCCTCATTGTTGTTTAATTTGACAGGCTTCAAACCGTCCAGGATGTCACGAGAGAGGTAATAATTGAGCATATGTCAATTCTAGCGAGCACCTTCTTGTCAGTAATCATTCACCATAGTTCAAATATGTTCGTACTGTGATTTATCTGCCACCATCTCGTATAAGAGTTTCTCATGAATTAACTATTAGTCCAAAAAATGAGTTTTTTTGCCATTCTTCACCATATTTCTAATCCCTTTTATGGTAATAGGAAGAGCGTGGACTGTTTCCCGACAAGCATCCGTTTCTTATTCACAACTACAATACTTAGCTAGCGATTTTCCGGAATATTTATTGGGTGCAGAGTTTTGGCCTAGATTTGATTGAGATCCTAAACTAGCTTCTATCCGAATTTTGCAATGAATGTCATGTTCATGTTTCTAGCTGCTTTAATTCCAAGACCTCCAAATTGTTTGGGGTTTGTGACTTGCTTCTAGTTTACTAAGTGACATTTCCAATTCTATATAGTACTATCCCACAAAAAATCCCTTACCTTTTTGTCAATTTTATGACATACTCCTTTTGGAAGGAGTGTTGTTTGCTTGACAAAGTAATATATAGTAGTGAGAGTGAATTGGGCAAGAACTTGTCTCCTAGCAACAGAAAGATACTTCATTTTCCATCCATCTAATCTATTATTAATGTAGTCGATCAAAGGTGTGAATAAGCTAATAGTCGTTCTCTCATGTAAAAACGGGACACCAAGGCATCTCCCCAAATTCATAATGCACTTGATTCCTGACATCTTTGTAATGTCCTTGGCATTTTACAGACTCATTGAAAAATTTTGTGATTTGCATAGACTTACCTTTTATCCCGAGACTTTACTCACTCTATCAAGGCATTCTTTGATTACCAACATTTGCTCTTGCAAAGCTTCATAGAGAAGCACCATACGTGTCGTTTGCAAAAAAAGATGAGTAATTGTGGGAGCATACCTTGAGAGTTGATCTCTCTTTGTAACACCCCAACCCGCATAACCCAAACCCGTGAGACAGCGGACCGGTGTGCCACTGGATTGGTATCCGAATATACAACATTTTCAAAACAATTTTAAACAAACGTTCTATCAATACATATAAAAATCCATCGGAGTAATTTAAAATAACGCAGAAGCCTTTTTAAAGTCAAACAACTTGGGATCTTTCCCGAAAACGTAATAAGCATTAAAGTTAATTAAATAAAGCATAACTACAGATTAAAGAGACAGCCACGCCATCGTACATCTCCTCCTCAATGCCCTCTGGGATCGGCTCTAGGTTCATTTGTGTGATCACCTACGGACAGCAAAAAAGAAAACAACGCTATCCGCTCAGCATTGACGCTGAGTGGCACTCCATTGTAGCACAAGAATAAACATAATAATTCAATGATTAAGATCGCGCATATGTTTATCCTTTTAATACAAATCAATTCAACTTTACATTCGGTTCTTTAGATGGTTGACCAACAGTCAACTTATTTTCTTTCTTTTCAAAACGATTTAGGTGTTAAGGATTCCTCATTAACTCTTTGACCACCGGTCAACCCAATTTAGACTTTCACGAAAGTCAAACCACTTAACATTTATTGCCTATGACGGAGATAGCCTCAATCCGTAATACCGAAGATAGCCTCAATTCGGTGGAGGTAGGATCCCTCGGGCGATGGCCTCAAACCCAAGATCACAGACCCTCGTGCGCACGTCTTAACCTCACTGACCAGGCCCTGCAGCTGCCCGAACAATGGCCAGTTTCTATGTTCGACATAATAAACCAATTGATCCTTAATTAATTAACTTAATTAATTCAATAAAGTCTTGGATTTAACCATTAGGTCAAACCTACGTCAACAGAATATCCAGTCAAAGCCCAAGTCAAACAGGACATAACCCAAGTCAAAGTCAAACCTGTTCAGTCAATTCACAATCCTCACACTTTCCTTTTTTATGTTTCACGTAGGGATGACAATTCAACCCGAACCCGATCTTAACCGACCCGACCGACCACTAAAATATCCGAACCCGAATCGAGAATAAAATAATCCGAACCCGACCTGAAATTTTTTACCCGAACCCGACATCGGGTCAGGTCGGATGTGGGTTTATTATTTTACCCGACCCGATCCGAACCCGCACCCGACCCGACTCAAACCCGAATATTTTATAACATAAAAGCCTATCTATAGATATAATATTTTATAACCCGCACTCCGTATACTCTCTTGACAAAGTGCTACTATATCAAGTATGCCATTTATAATCATTTTTATAATTCCTTAATAAAAAATGAGACGCAAAAAAATTAGATTTAATCTTTTTAAAATTATTGGGGTACATTGAATTGATTATTGGTTAAATGTCGGGTTCGGGTTTCGGGTTGGAATGTCGGGTTCGGGTCGGGTATTTGGCTTAAAAAGTCGGGTTTCGGGTCGGGTTCGGGTTTCGGTTTTAAAAGTCGGGTCGGGTTCGGATATAGTACCATCCAACCCGAACCCAACCCGTTGCCATCCCTAGTTTCACGGAGGATGTGGCTCAGTCTCTTAATGCACAAGGTAAAGAGATATAGAGATACGAAGTCTCTCTGATGGATGCCCCTTTCTGAAATACTCCCTCCGTCCACAAATAAAGTTCTCATTGCACGTTACGATGTTTGACTTAAATTATTTTCAAATCATTTTATATGAAAAATGGTATGGAATTAAAAAATTCAAATTACATATTTAAAAACTACATGAAAAGATATACAAAACTAGTAGTGACATGACTATATTATTTTATCAAACAAGACACAAAAATAGGCCAGTGAATAAAGTATGACCCTGTGAATAGTGAACGAGAACTTTATTGTTGGACGGAAGGAGTACGGAGTAATACATTATAATTGTTATCCCTTCGAGAGCAGTGCAAGCCTTGATGTCTCAACACATTTCATAATATTTCTTACCTAAATGTGGTTAAAGCTCCCAATAGTTAAAATTTCAGAGTTAAAATTTCACAGTTAAAATTTAACAGCATGTCTTTCTCCGGATGAATTTTAACAACCATCATGTCTCTCTTGCATTGCTTTGATAGCATGGAATGCAAAATCTCTTGGTGCATAATTATTTTGTTACTCCGTAAAATGCTACTCTCTCTGTCCCAAAATTAATTACGCAAAACAAAACAAACTTTATGCTTTTTTTTCAATTCATTTTATTTAAAGATTGATATACAAGTAAAAAATAAAATTTACATATTTAAAAGTTCTTCAAAACAAAAATGAAAAGAATATTTTGTTTTATCAAATGATCGATGAAAACGTACAAATAAACAAGAGTTTTCGTGATCTTTGAATAGTGAGCTGTGATATTCTTTTGGACGGAAGGAGTATAAAAGTATTCCATTCATCCCAAATTCACTTATCTGTTTACTATTCACAAGGTCAAACTTTATACACTAATTTTTTTGTTAGTCATTTAATACAATAATATAGTCATGTCATCATCAATTTTGCAGATCTTTTAATGTTGTTTTTAAATAAATAATTTTTATTTTTAAATTTTAAGCATTTCTCATAAAACATGTTTTGAAAATAAATTTAGTCAAGTATCGTAAACTGAAACAAATGATATAAACTGGGACGAAGGAATTCTAGAGACTACTGACGTAAGGCCCCGTTTTGTTCAACTTATTTTTTTATTCTTATTAAAATCAGATCAGATCAGACCAGATCAGATCAGATCCAATCAGACGAGATCATATCCATAAAGAATTACGGAGTATTATTATTATTATTATTATTATTATTATTATTATTATTATTATTATTATTATTCTTAAAAATGAAAAAGAATAAACTTTAGAAACTAGTTAAATAGAAAACTGAGAAAGTAATTCTTAATTATTAGACGTCGGAAAAATTATTTTTAAATTACATTGACAATGTCAATCTAATTTTTACTTTTAAAATACATTTTTATTGCTATCTGTAATTTTAGTTTCTAATGTTTTGATCTTTTGTAAGGATGAGATATTTTAATAAAAATACTATCTCTTATATATATTGATTATCTAAATTTAATTATTTTTTAATGTATATATAAATTAAATATTTATTCTAATGTGTGTGTATATATATATATGAAGTAATTATTAAAATATTAAATTAATATTCTAATTTCACAAAAAATAATCATAAAATAAAAAATATTATTACATTATAATATTAAGTATTATTCTAATATATGAATTAACTAATTTTATTTTATTAAAAAATATTCATAAAATAAAAATATTGATTATATTAAAATATAAATTATCACTACAATTTTCAAATGTTATTATAAAATCAAATCAAATTATTGATTTGAATTTTAAATCAAAATATAATTAATCAGATCAGATGAGATCAAATCTAATCAGATCAGACCAGATCAGATCCAATCAGATCAGACTAGATCAGATCAATTTAGAAAAAATAAGTTGAACGGAACGGAGACTAAAAAGTGTAGAGAAATCAAAAGGATGGCAGTATTTACAGCCCCGTTCTAGTTTATTCGTGTAATGTAAGGCCCGATAGATAAAAGAACCAAGAACAGGTCGGGCAGTATTAAAAAGAAAAAGAAAAAAAATCCAAACCCGGCATAGCTCCGGTCAAGTAATTGATCTCTCCCGTTCGCACAGAGGTAACTGCCCGAACCAGTCATTGACATGGCGCGCCTCTTCTTCCTCTTCCTTTCGGTGTTTCAGTAATAATACTAATACACGGTGCAGTTGGTTGGTTCTAGCTTCAGCCTGCGAATTTCATTGCTGAAATCGGCGTATTTTGGGAGTGAGATGGAGAGTTTTGTCCGATCATGATTGGTTTATTTTGATCCCACCCGAGGTGTTCAAGTATTTCTCTTTCCTTCGTTTTCTAGCGATCTCTCCACTGCAGCGGAGAAAAAAACAGTCAATCTAGGGATTTCTTTTCCATTCAATTTTGATTGGTATCACCTGTCAATTAGCTCAATCCTGAAATCTCGATTTTGCCAATTTTGAAATTTTATGTTGGAGTTTCATTGTAGTGGGAAAATTTAGTGTTTTGTTTTATTCCAGGAACTGAGGAATCCTGATCAGCTGATAGAGAAATGGATTTAGTCACCAAGTATCAGGTACTTTTCATCTTCTTTCATTTTCTAGATTGCATGTTTAGCTTAAAATGGGATTATCTTGAACCATTTTAGTCACGATGGAAGCTAATTTAAAGTCGTCTTCATATTTTTGCTCTAAGTACAGAAAAGACACTTTTTTAATTGCAAAGGTATATATTGTGATGTCAGAAGTTTGTTTTCGCTCTTTGGGATGCTCATTGTCTTTGTTATATTGATAATGCATGTACCTTTAGCATTACATGTGGTTAACCTTGAATGGTTCCTATGCAGGGTGTTGTTGGACAACTTTTTGGCAATGATAGTTCCAGTTCAAATGAAGACAGGTAATCCATTTTTTGAAATAGATACATAATTTATATATGGAATGCTATACTTAATTAGATTCAATAGCTGTGAAGGGATAGTGATTCCTTTATTCTGTGGATAATATGCATGCTGATTTGCATAGTCACAATGTTTCTTAAAAGGATTATGGGATGTAGTGGGAGAACTTGGCTATGATTTCTTACAATTCACAAAAACTTCAAACAAATAAAGAGTGTCTTTGCCTTCCTCTGTCCTACCCCAATGGCCCAATATAAACCCACTTGTTATGTTAATTGTTTAAGATCATGTCATGCTATGATGCAATCTTTATTCCAAAACCAATTCATTGTTTATGCCACAGCTATGTTGAGCGCTTGCTTGATCGCATAAGCAATGGTACAGTGGCTGATGAAAGGAGAAATGCTATCTTGGACCTACAGTCTATTGTTTCCCAAAGTCATGGTGGGCAACTAGCTTTTGGAGCAATGGGTTCGTGCTTGTCATTTTGGGAGAATTTCCATGTTTATTTTTCTCACTGCTCTCCTCTTGCTCAATTAGTCTTTGATGGTTTGTTACTTACTTTACATAACATATCAGTCATTTCAAGGATCTATTATTTTCAGGTTTTCCTGTAATATTAAGTGTTTTAAAGGAGGAACGAGATGATGTTGAGATGGTATGCTTGATTGTTCTTCAATGTTTTTGATTTGACAGTCTGCTCAAACATGGTGTTTTAAACTGTTGTTTAATTTCATCAACTAACTATATCAAGGAGGCTATAAGCCCGTTTGGTGCCCAAAGTGTTATATTTTGGACTTATTGATGGAATATGTAGAATCGTATGAATAAGCATAATACTCCATATGTAGTTTTGACTAACTTATTTGGCTAAAATGGATTTTGCCAACACACATTTCCTTCGAGAACAAAACTCAACCATATCAACCACATATCCTTAACCAACTGGGCTCCACGTGTTCGTGAAAATTACATGTTTCAGATCACTTTTTTCCCAGCATGTTGGAACTTCACAAGGAATATATTGTGCATTTGAAGGATATGTATTTTAACCAAATTGAACCACATTCTGTTTGCTAAATTAGGGCATTTAGTTTTAGCCGCTATTTTTTAGATATCCAAGCATTTAGGGGTCTATTATGATCCTTCGTCTTTATCCTACTAAGCCAATTCTCCCATTGGTTACTTTAGTTAATTTCTGCTTATAGACAACAGTCTTTTGTTTACATCCCTTACAAAAATTCTTGATATGACTTGCTCTTTAAACTTGCAACTGCTTTGTTATTACCAAAGTGATGTTTCTATTTGTTTAGTTAGAATGTGTTACTTGCTATTGGATAATGTATCTCCACTTTTCTGCACACTTTGAACTGTAATTTCTGAAATCTTATTTATCGCAATTTCACGTTTTTACTGTAGTTCAATTTATGTTTTATATTTCACCTGATCTTAATATTTATTTATATTCGGTGGTCCAAGCTTCGTGGGGCTCTGGAAACTCTTGTGGCTGCTTTATCTCCAATTAGTCATGGAAGAGTGCCAAACTACGAGGTCCAACCAGCTTTAATGAATAGTGACTTGCTTTCTCGAGATGTACAAAATATCTCTCTTCTTCTAAGTTTGCTGGTAAGGGTCCTATTACTTTAATTTATTAGTAAACACTTTTTATTAATTCTGAAGATTTCTATTAATTTTCTATTCTACTGTGCTGACAGTCTGAGGAAGATTTTTATGTACGGTACTACACACTGCAACTACTAACAGCACTTCTAACAAATTCTGCAAATAGGTATCTTTAACATGGTTACTTTCTTCAATCGCTTCCTTCATACTCTCTCCGTCCCAAAATGAACTTTTTTGTTTGATTTCACGGATTTTAAGAGAAGTGTTGAAAAGTGAAAATCAAGTGGTCGAAATCTGTTTAGAAGATATGGATAATTGTTTTAAACCAAATATTCCTTTACTTAAAGGAAAATGGAAGAAGTGTGAACTGTATTTTGAGGCACACAAAAAAGGTAAGTGTAGACTTCGTTGTGGGTCGGAGGGAGTATTATTTCTGCATACACCCATCATTCATGACTTCTTTGCTGGTTTACATTGATTGTACTCGAGCTGGGTCTCTTGGAAACAGCCTCTCTACTTTCAAGTAGGGGTAAGGTCTGCTTACAAACAACCTCCCCAGACCCTCGGGTTTTCTTGGGTTTGTTGTTGTTGTTGTACCCATCATTCATGAAAAAACTGCTGAAATACTGCTTAGGCTACAGGAAGCGATTCTGAGCATCCCTCGTGGTATTACACGACTTATGGACATGCTTATGGATCGTGAGGTATGTAAGTCATGATCAGTATGATGAATTTATCTGTTCTCAAGTTCTGGATTCTAATATTTGGAATGTTACGAAGGTTATTAGGAATGAGGCACTGTTACTTCTTACATACCTCACTCGCGAAGCTGAGGCAAGTTCTCACCTCAATATGCTCTCTGACTCTAATATTGTTTCATTCTATCATTAATTAAATGTGTCTTCCCCTTTTTCTCTCTGCCTAATTTGGTTTCGTTTTATGAGCTTCAGGAAATTCAAAAAATTGTGGTATTTGAAGGTGCCTTTGAAAAGATATTTAGCATTATGAAAGAGGAGGGAGGCTCAGAAGGAGGAGTTGTAGTGCAGGTATTTTGGGAAGCATTTACACTTGCGAACTTCTGCAGTTGCAGTTGATCATTTATCAATCATGAAATGCTCTGTAATATTTTTGTATATTGCATTTGTTCTGCTCTTAAACCTCCTTACTTGTACTTTTATACTCCCTCCATCCCATAAAAATATTCCTACTTACTATTCATATGGTTTATCATCGTTATTTGCCTAGTTTCATCACTCATTTTTGGGACGGAGGGAGTATATATTATGCGTTTACTTATGTATAGGATAAGTATCTTGCATACTTCTAAGTATCAAACATGACTGTGTACAGGACTGCCTTGAATTGTTGAACAATATCATTCGCAACAATGCATCAAATCAGGTATCTCCCCGTGCTTACTTATTCATGTCATTACATATGTATGCCCTTCTTGCCTGTTTTTTTAAAAAAGCATTATATGTGTTTTAGGTATTACTTAGGGAGACAGTGGGCTTTGATTCTGTCATACAAATTCTGAAGCTCAGAGGTAGCACCTACAAATTCACTCAACAGAAGGTTAAATTCGTAACTATTTCTGTATTTCCAGAATTTTTATCTGCCTTAACCTTCCTGGCAGTTGAAATATGATCACCTAATCCTACTGTTTTCTCTTCTTTTATCTGATTTAATTGCCAGTAGACAATAAATCTTCTCAGTGTGCTTGAAACAATTAATATGCTTATAATGTGGGGGCCAGAAACTGATCCTGGAAAAGATGCAAACAAGCTGACAAACAAAACAGTCTTGGTTCAGGTCTGTTCTTGCCTCTTATTTCTAGATTCTTGATATGTTCTTTCATGATTTGCTTGTGTATGGCATCTAGATTCCCAGGACTAACTCATTATTTCGATTGCAGAAAAAGATTCTGGACCATCTTCTGATGCTGGGAGTTGAAAGTCAATGGGCTCCCGTTCCTGTGCGTTGTGCGGTAAGGCGATTGGTTCTTTATTTCATCCATGTCATTTCTCTATTTTTCTCTCAACAATCAACAAAAGTTATAGTAAACCATAATCCCTCCGTCCAAAAATTATTGGTTCTGTATTCACTTTGTTGGTGTATTTCATTGCCCATTTTATAAAATACTATAGTCATGTCACCTTTAGTTTTGTTGATCTTTTGATGTAATGTTTAAATATTAAATTTTTATTTTTTAATTCCACACCATTTTTCATATAAAATATTTGAAAATAACTTCAGTCAAACTAATTTTTGGACGGAGGGAGTATTTTAATATAGGTTGGCCTAATCTAATGAAATTTTTATTCTTTTTGAACCGAAATGCAATTCATTGAAAACCAAACAGGAATAAATACAGGAGAGTGATCTTCAGGAATGAAAACTGGACATGTACAAGCTTATTAATCAATTTGTGAGATAAAGACTAATGCAGTTCTTAATATTCTCAACAGTTTCTTCTTCAGTTATCAACTTCTGGTGTAGTTTGTTATTCCTTGCTCTCTAAACATGGTAAAAGCATGCTGCCCAACTAGCCATAACTATCCATCTTTGCTTCATAGGCTTAATCTTCATGATCTCCGCCCCTACTTCATCTAGCCCTACCCCCTGGATGCTGTACTGGAGCCAGGAAAAAATCTGAGTGCGAACTTTTTGCGCGAAAGAGCAGTACCAGAACAGATGGTCAAATTCTTCCTCTTCCTTCTCATATAGGACGCAACAATTAGAAGCAATAGCCAATATTCATATATCTAGCCAATGTACTTCTGATTTGGAGTCTTCTCTTTAGAATCAACCAGAAAATAAGTTGATGTTAAGGAAGTGTGTATGTATTCCAAACCCAGGTAGACCATTGGGGAGTGTCTCTCTGACCTTGTAGCCAAACGTATCATTTGGTAGGACTTAGGAGAGTAATCAACATACCTAGGCATATTTCAAAAAACCTCTCTAACCTTTATCATTTTCCTCCAGCCAAATTTCTAAATCTAGTTCATAAAAGATATTCCCTCTGTCCTATATTTTTCTTCCCACATTGGCTTGGCTTGGTTATTAAGAAAAGTAGAATTGTCTAGTTCCGGTAGACTTAGAGGTGACAGAATGAATGTGAACCATATAAATGTTTTCTTGAAAGGAAATGAAAAGTAAATTTTAGGACAACCCAAAAACGAAATTGAGAAGAAAATTTCAGAAAAGAGTAATACTAAATTACATTTTGGAAACCTTGGAATTAAGTTTATGTCCATTTATGTGGTTCAGGCACTCCAGTGCATTGGTGATCTAATTGCCGGACAACCAAAGAATCTTGAAGCACTTGCAACAAAAGTTCTAGGCGATGAGCCTCCGATGGAACCTGCTTTGAATTCTGTACTTCGTATCCTTCTTCGTACATCCAGTAGACAGGAGTTTGTCGCGGCTGATTATCTTTTTAAGAGCTTTTGTGAGGTTTGTTTCACCACTGCTAGTTTTGTGCTTTGTGTATTGTAATGTTACTGTGATTTTTTTTTTGCGATTGCATGTGGCATTGCGAATGTACGGAGCATTAGATTTTGACTTTTTCTCTTTTGCTCGATTGAATGCTCAACTCATTTCTTGAGATTTGTTGTAGAGTGTTCGCATCATCATCATCATCACCATCATCATTATTACTATTATTATTACTTCGTATTAGTATTACTAGCACTAGCACTACTATTATTATTATTATTTTTGTTGTTGTTGTTGTTGTCGCTTTCAGAATCTACTGCTTTTAATCCCTTTATGTGTTCGATGCAGGAAAATCCCGAGGGTCAGACAATGTTGGCATCTAAATTAATTCCTCAGCCAGTTTCAACTCTCTATGCTCCTACCGAGGAGGATGTTAACATGACATTTGGAAGGTACTTTATGTGTGGACGGTGTGGTACTGTGGTTATTTTTTTTTTCCAAACATTGTCTTGCATCAAAGCTGAATTATGCCATTGCAAGATTAGCAGTATGGTAACTTTAAACTTTTAATCATTTCATTGAGCTTTTTTGGCAGCATGCTGTTACATGGTCTTACAATGGGTGAAAGTGATGGTAATCTTGAGGTAATATACACACTGCTTATATCACTAGGGTTACCTTTGGAAGAGCGATGAGATTGGAGTGACTAGTGCGCTGGGCACCAGAACCTTATTCATGGCTCCAACTGCAAGTCGTCATATTAGACTTTTTGAGTGCTGTTGGAGCTGTGGGTTACTCTGACAGCCTTAATGTTACCTTTGTATCATGAGGGTACTTTTGAGCCTTAATGTTACATGCGTCTAATTTCTTTTATTTATTCAAGAAGGTACTTTTGTATCATGATTTAGCTGCATCTTTTCAAAGACTAAAGAAAACTTAGACCACAAATATTCTGTTTAGTCTTTTCTGAGATTTAGAAAAACAGTTTCATTTAATACATTTTGTATAGAAATTTGTTTGATGAAACCAGAATCATTTGCATTTGCCAGAAATTTTCAAAGTTATGCTTGTTTCTCATAATCCGTCATTTATGACAACCTTCCAGTGACCTCAACATGTTCCCATAAAATTCTCACAAGTAATCTTGTGATTTTCTAATCATTATAATGTCAACCCCACATTGCCACTGATCCCAACTAGTTCATATTAAGGAAGTGTCCTGGTAAAACTTTAGTTGATGGAAGTATTTATCTTTCTATAGTTCCGGTGATTGGTAATCGGTGTCATAATGTTACATATGCAGACATGTTGCAGAGCAGCCAGTGTTCTTTCTCACATTCTCAATGGAAACACTCAGTGCAAAGAAAAGGTTTTTAAAGGTCATATGTGAAAATCTGATTTAAGCAAAATACTAGGGGTTTTCTTGTTCATAATGCCAAAAAGGTTACTGCAGGTTCTACGGGTCGAACTTGAAGCACCTATGCCCTCATTAGGAGGCCCAGAGCCTATAATGCACCGTTTAGTGAAGTACCTTGCTCTCGCCTCAATTAGAAGCAAAGATGGAAAATCAAACACATCCAAGAACACTTTTGTTCAAGCTGTTATCTTGAAACTGCTAGTTATTTGGCTCTCAGATTGTCCGAGTGCTTTGGAGTCTTTCCTTGATTCACGTCCCCACCTAACATATTTGCTTGAGTTGGTGTCAGACCCCACTGCCACTGTTCCTGTAAGAGGTTTGGCTGCAGTACTAATGGGACAGTGTGTTATTTACAGTAATGGTGCCGGAAGGGATGCTTTAGGCATAGTTGACACCATTAGCCAAAAAGTTGGACTCACATCATACTTCCAGAAGTTCGATGAGATGCAGAAAAGTGTTCTTTTTACATCTGCTAAGCCGTCTTTGGCCCGCAAACCACTGACGAGATCTAATGCTGCCAGCGTGACTGAGATTGATGACATGGATGATGAGTCAGCTGATCGAAGGACTGATGATCATCCTCTGCTTGCATCTATCTTTGATTCTCAGTTTGTCAATTTTGTTAAACACTTGGTGGCCGAAATTAGGGAAATGACAGTGCAAGTGTACAGTCACCCAAAGAGCCAGGTGTCAGTTGTGCCAGCAGAGCTTGAGCAAACGAGTGGGGAAAGTGATGGGGAATACATCAAGAGGTTGAAGAGCTTTGTACAGAAACAGTGTTTCGAGATACAGGTAATTCCTTATATTATTTTCTTGTTTTATTCACATGAAAGTTCTTTTTGCAAGAAAAATCATGATTTACTCCAAAATTTGACTGTCATGTTTTACATTCTTTGAACATGCGCCTTAGAGTAGATAACTGAAATTACATGCTCTGGAATGCTTTGGGGCGATTAGTTATTAAAAACAATGCTCCCTCAGTCATGAAAGAGTCCTATTTGATATATACTATTAACTTTTGGATGGGTATAACTGTCACAACTCATGAGCATGCTTCAATTTTCTAAAATTCCATAGTTAGCTTAGCTAATTTAATAGCTTGTTTGGGACTCTTTTTAGCAAATTACATGAAATTTTAGCTTCCTTTGGTACAAGTCTACTCTTTTTTGTGACATTAAAAAGGTCGAAAGATGACTCGTTTTAAGTTTTATTTTACATTTCCTCGTGTTTTAAGGAACTTTTGAGTAGGAACGCGACATTGGCAGAGGATCTTGCCAGGACAGGCAGTGGCGATTCTTCATCTCAGGCGGAGCATAGAGGCTTCAGGGGAGGAGGTTCAGAAAAAGTTCAAATCGAGATGCTTCGGAGAGACCATCAGGAAGTCACCCAAAAGTTGGAGAGGTTGAAGGTAGAGAAGGCAAAGGCGGAATCGGATGCCGAGAAGTATAGAGATGTGGCGAGTAAGATGGAGTCGGAGCTGCAGAGCCTGTCAGCCGCATACAACAGTCTGGAAGAGGCGAATGCACAGCTGGAGGAGGAAGTGAAGTGTTTGAAAAGCGGCGACTTGGAGGCGATAAAGGCAGAGGCAAGGGAAGAAGCTCGAAAGGAGAGTGAATCTGAGCTGAACGATCTTCTCGTTTGCCTCGGACAAGAACAAAGCAAGGTCGAGAGGCTGAGCGGGAGGTTGATTGAGCTGGGTGAGGATGTCGATAAATTGCTAGATGGCATCGGCGATGATGCTGCCGGACTACTTGGAGGAGAAGAAGAAGAAGAAGAAGAAGAATGATTTGTGGGGGTGTTTTTGTCTTTTATAATCTATTGCTCTATGCTTGTATTTATTGGACATCTTGTATATTTTTACATCATGAAAGTTATTACTGATTGAGTTTGTATGAAACAAGATTTACTTGAACAGATTTACTTTGGTGGTGAAAAATGACAATGTTATTACTCGAAAAAATCGAGTTTAAATGGTGCCAAATTCTCTGCAATTACTGTAAAAGGATTGGAACAAACATTCAGAGAGGAAATGTAGGAAGAAAGGGGAACAAAGGAGTAACTGAGTAAGATGGTATGAAAACATGAAACTGTGCAAAATGAGAATAAAATGGATAGTAATACTACTGAGTCAGAAGAGGTAATAAGAAGTAAGAAGAAAGTGAAAATATTAAAGATATTAGGAAAAATTACACAAAATACTCCAAGAAATCGCGGAACTAAGGCTGTGTTCTGATTTTTTAAAGATCTGGCCTGATTTGGCTTGATTGCAATTGTAATTAAACCTGTATTTGGTATGATCTGGTTTGGTCTGATCTGATTATACTTAAAATAAGTAATTAGGAGAAAAAATAAGTTGAACGAACCACTGCTTAATTTTTGGACTTCACTAGCAATTTTTGTAGGGGATGGACGGTAATTCTGCAACATACTCGCTTTGTTCAAAAAAAAAACTTTTCCTATTTCAATAACATGTAAAATCTCATCTATTTTAAAATGATTTTCTTTACAAATACCAACAACAAAAACAACCCAGTTAAATCCCATAATAGTAGGGTTTGGGTAGGGTGTGTGTACGCAGACCTTGCCCCTACTCGAAAGTAGAGAGGCTGTTTCCAGAGAGACCCCCGACTCAACGTCGAAAGTTGCATTGCTTGACTAACTGCTACTTCATTAATTAAAGAAGCGTAGACAATTTAGAGATCCATTTTGATTTATTCCATCACACTCCAAATCCAAAAAATGGTGAAATTTTGGCTCCATCGGAGATGATGGAAAATTTTCTTTACAAATGTGTATAGAAATAAAAGGTCCAACTTATATATTTAAAAGTTACGTCAAAAGTTTAAGAAAATAAAGAGTGATAAGAATATTTTATTTTATCAAATGACCAATGAAAAAGCACATCCGGCGGAGCTTGTAACAGTAAACATGAACTATTTTTTGGGAATGAAGTGAGTATTATCTAATCTACTATATATATAAAAGCCCATGAGAAATTTTTGCCAATTTCATTCCTGATTTTCCCGCCATATTTACATATCCAAGGGATGAGAATAGTTTGCTACACGTGGCATCATCTAATGAGATCTCTATCTTTTAAGACATACAATCAATTCTGGACAAAAGAGGGTTATCCCCACAGCTAGAATTCCAGTACATGCTATCTCCAGAGAGCCAGTCCAAGCGAAGTGAACACAAGCCAAGTAGTTCACTGAAAAATGACAAAAAAACTTTATTTAGACTCTGAATTTTTTCCAAGCGAAGTGAACACATACCATAAATTTATTTAGACTCTGAATTTAACGAAGTTGATACACATGGATATGTGATTGCCATGGCTGCAGACCCATTGTAATCTAGATTTTGCCATCCCAAGATACAAATCACAAATTCAACATATTTAAACTCCGTTTATAAATTCCAAAAAAAAAAACTATCTATGCTCGGAATTATTTTCCATTGCTAAGCTAAATGATATGATTGTCATGGCTGCAACGATGATCTCAAAGTTCGGGGTTGCCTCGCCAAGATACAAATCATTTCGTTAAATCTTCGTTATTAGCATTGGTAAATACACATTGATGTCGTCACAGCCTCATTAGAGATGCATCATACTCTACTTATATATAAAAGCCCATAAGAAATTTTTTCCAATTTCATTCATGTTTTTCCTGCCATAATTATGCATCGAATGGATGAGAATAGTTTGCTACACGTGGCAGCAGCGTATGAGATCTCTATCTATAAAGACATACAATCAGTTCTGGACAAAAGATTATTGTCCCACATCAGG